GCAACCCCTTTGAGTTCTGTATAGAGTTTTGAAATTAAAGATTCCTCCATGCACTAAAAGCAGCTATCATAATTATCAAATACAGCCAAAGAATTTTTTTTGGGATTATCAAAGTCCTGGACATAGACAAGTTACCCCCTCAGTTCTTTTATGCATCTCGAACATGGAATTTTCCTGTTGAAATCACTTCTGTAAAATTCCAATAACATTACGAGATCAACAATTCTGTACTTAAAATAGCTAGCCCTCATTAGGCAGTGGTAACTCGACTATTGTCTAGCTATATGTCTCTTCCTGAATGATTTCTAACAAGCTAGATTGTCTAGCTCTGTGTCATACATTACTGGTGAGGATCAACACCGTGATGAGCCGGTGGAGACATCTAACACTGTAGTCTGTCTCCATGACTTGGATGGAGGACAAAGAAATAATTAATGATTCCTGTTGACCAGTGCTTCTGCCGTCTAAAGAAGTAGGATGCAATATGTATGTAAGACGGATGTAAGACTATCACTAGGCTACAGAGTCGTCGGACTAGGATCTTACACCTGAGGAACTACATTGAAATAGCTGTTGATTAAAACATATCTTTTTACCGAAACGGAATATATACAATGTTTTATAACCTGAGTTAAAAACAAATAACGGAATACTAATATAATCGAAAAGTTAACACACTGTCAACAAACTCAAATAATTACTGTCATTACATTAAAATAGGCACGGTAGTCTAGTGGTAGGACGCCGGGCTCATGACCGAAGGGTTGCAGGTTGGAGTCACGGCGCCACACTGTGTTGTATCTTTGAGCAAGATAATTTACTTTGCTTGTTCCAGTGTACTCAGCTGTAAATGAGTATGTGGTTGGGCAGTGCATGCTAGCAGCTTGAGCGCTTAAAATGGCAGCACCGGCTGTTACTTATGCTCCCCAGGGAGTAGAGAGAGATAATGGCTGGTTGCAAAGCTTTGAGACGACTAATGAACTAGGTTTCGATAAAGCGGTATATATAAGAACCTCTAATTATTGAAGTTTTGGTACCGAAATATTTCGGTATTTGTTTAAGACATTTTGGTGTTTCCCAAAAGTCGTTTTTATACTTCTTATAAGAATTTTGGCACTTGGACTAGTGTTTTAACTTTTAAAAACTTTGTTTGCTTTTTGTGTCCTGTGTGTTACGGATTTTATATTTTATGATTCTTTAATATGTTTTGTCTTTACAAAAAAGAACTAAAACATCCTACTGTTAGGTACAAAACTACCAGGTGTATGTAATTTTGTAATCAGCAACATCAGCTCAGCTGTTCTGGACAAGTAGGGTTTAAAGGAAAAAGTGCAGAACAGACAATGAACAGATGACAGAAAGACTGACACCACAACATGTACAGCATCAGCTCACCCAATGCCCTTCTGGCAAAAAGAAAATAAGAGCAAAAAACAATTACAACACTTAATCTCATGTGTAAACTGACGTTGCATTTATGCCTATCACTAGTAAATGTCTATGATTCAAATAAAGTACATGTGAAAATGAACTGAATCACAGAAACAAGCATAATTGTACGGTATTATTCTTTCAAAAGTAAAATACACTCGCATCAATCTAGCTAATATCCTTTTTTGTATTCTAGATTTATGTGAATCATTCTGGTACAAAATCAAATTAACAATCATTATTAAGTATGAAGAAACCAAATAAGATGTGTTTAGCATTTTGATAATTTGTAGGTGAAAAGCAGCATAGCTGTGATTATAAATAATCTGAGACATCTTCTGGCCATATTTAATATGAGGTGGATAGTGGTAAAGGAATGTAACCTCATTAAGTCCTTCCAGTTTTCTGCATTTAACACATTATATTGTTGACAGAGGCTGTAGATGTGTATGAACTAAATAATCATACGTTGTCAACTACAATCAAACGGTATGACTACTGGTCCGGAATAAAATTTAATGAAAAAGAATCAGGTTTTAATTATTGCTTCCATACAGCTTTGCTCAATAACAAAAATCATCATAGAAGTCTTCAACATCAGTGCCTGTAACCAGGGTTACAACAGAAATATGCTGTAATCTGTTTTGTTGGAAGGTTATTTATTTCAAAATGAATATACACCACTGTGTAAGATGACATCGGAATCAAAAACATCAAACTATCTACAATAAGGGGAGATATATAGTACGTTGTTTTGAGTGGCTATATACTGGCGTATAGAATACAAAATTTAGTTTGAACTTGAGACCGATAGGTCGTGAGTTTAAATCAAATTTCATGTTCTAATCGCCAGTATAGACACGAAAAACAACATACTATCCCCATTCTAACACACCTTAACAAATATACTACGCTTAAATATGTTTAGAAACATTGTATTTCCTTGTACAAAAGTATGTAGTAAAATGCTTTGTGACCGGAACTGGCGACGTGTCATTCGGCAGCGGACTGACCAATCAGAAAGAGTTTTGTGTAAATGCATACGACACATATGTGAAATGTTTCATTTGATTTCGGATCTAAATAGATGCCTTCACACGGATGGAACGAACGTTTCAGTAATAAATGTCAGTCGTTTCTGTTCTAGCTGTTGCCTGCTAGCCTTATCAGCGGGATTTCGCTAAGAGGCGAGCTTGACGCCATATTGTTTTGGTTAGAAACGGGGCGTGGTTTAAGTGAGATGGGAGGAGCTTAACACGATTGATCATGATTTTATTGCAGATTAGAACATGGTCTGTATCCAATCAAAACACACGTTGCAAACGAATCGTGTTAGAATACACATTTAACTTGTTAATTTTATTCTTCATGATAAATCTCCATGTTTCGAGTTAGGTTATATATTTATAAATACAAAAAAATATACTAATTGGGAACATTTCAAGCAGAAAAAATATTTGTGATATGTTTTTTATAGACATATTGTTTTATCATAAAAAGATAAGGTAAAATATAGTTTCCAGGTCATCAGTTTGAAAAGGAATTTTACTTAATACTTCCCTGTGACATTGACATTTGACTGACAAAAGATATTCGAAAAGAAATCCAAACAATTTAGGAGATAAGGATTTTTCATTATATGTCCTTTCTATATAACAAAGTTTTAAATAATTCTCCCCCCCCCCCCCCCCCCCCCCCCAATCTGTATACCCTTTAAACGACTTGATCACATTCTGCTGAAATTATTTCTTGTTGCTGATTATCATAGTTCTAGGAATATCAACATCAATTTCATCAGCTATAGGACATGTCTACTCAAAAATAAGCCCAAGCACAATTAATATACAGATGATATCGTCGGGACATATTGTCTAGGAAAAGACATAGCTTCCATCCTTGTACGGACGACTTGTAACCAAGAAACACTGATACAGGGAATACTGGTAAATAAGACCCCAGAAAACCCATCTGTCATCATTTAACAATAATCTAGCCGAATAAATGACACACAAATGACACTTTTCAGAGAACATAATCACATTTCCAAGAAGACAGAATGTAAAATGATGTGAACTGCAGCAAAATAAACACATCTGGAATTAATGACAGACATATGTGAAGATTCCTCCTTGGACACAAACCTCGTGACAAACAGCTAGAGTACGAGAATCATTACCCCTGTTCATACTGACAACAACAATCAATGATATACATTCACATGTCCTGTAATGATATATGCGTTGCACAGAAATAATTTTGTTTAATGTCATCTGATATTATGCAGCACTACATGATGTGGTTAGAGAGAAATGCAACTAATTAAGGCAGCTGATCAAACTAAGATGAGTAGAATCTCTATGTAATTGTTTATCAAGCGGTCCAACGGGTATGTATACTGTTACCGTTCACCTGAATTTTTATTAAATCTTGGCAAAATAGTTCTATTAAAAGTGTAATATTGCAAAGAAATTCCCACTTTGGACTCCACCTCACAGGACCAAGGATGACAACACCCTTCCTTTAAGTAACATTTGATATGCTGATCCCAAGGATGCTTCATAGCAAAATTGTTTAAAAACATTATCAACTTGTCAGGAGGAGTTATAGACTTTCAAAAATTTGAATCCAAATTATCTCTTTTTGGTCTTGTACCTACTGAGCTCCACGAACAATTGATTCCAAGGTCTAAAAGACTAGGGATGCAAAAATAATTTAAATCAATAACAGCTCAGCTGTTCTTGACAGGTAGGGTTTTAAAGGAAAAAGTGCAGAACAGACAATGAACAGATGACAGAAAGACTGATATAGTCCACGCCACAGGATAAGATCGTTTGCCCTTCAGGCAAAAAGAAGAAAAAAAGCACCAAACAATTACAATATTTAATCTCATGTGTAAACTAACTTTGCATTGATGCTTATCACAAAAGCCTGACAGTCATTATCGATATTTGATGAAACATCCAGAAACAAGATACAATACAGGTAGATTTATCTGGTGCCAGCTGTGTAACTAAGGAAGTACAGATATATTATGTCAGGTACATCGCAGAAAACACCTGTACTATAAATGTAGCAACAAAAATATGTCATCTATATCAGGTTAAAAAAGCCTTATACAGGTTCCAATAAGGAGTATAGACTGATTCATGAGGAACAGATTCATTACCAGGCGTAGCTTTACAGCTAAACTTAGGTCACAAGAGAACTATGTCCCTACCAATGAAGCCAGTCAATGGCCTTTTTTGTATTTCTCAAGCAACAGTTGGGATAGGGAATGGCCATTTTAGACATTTCCCTACTGAAATCTTACAGTAAGCGCATTAACTATGAGTTACTGCCCAGTCTGCCATGTTATTCTGACAACCGACAAGTCAGAAACAATAAACCAAATAGAATCGGGAGCAGGGAAAAAAAGGAGAATTTATTTTGCAGAGGAAGCAACAAAGATGAATATTTTTCTTCTGTATGTGTCCCCCGCAACAAGGATTGAGAAAGAAAACCCTGATTCCACAGTAGTACCTGCAACATGTTAGACCTCTGCAAATTAAGAAAGGTAAGAAAGGAGGTACCTGATTGGTCTGCAACACAGCTGTTCCGGCGTTTCGTTCTGTCACCTCGTCTGAGACTCATTCTAGATCGTGAAGAAAATAACGTCTTCTCATTTCCAGATGGAACTTCTGCTATAGAAGTTGTTGGCTGAAAGAAAAAGAATAAACAATAAATTCAAATTGCTTTACTTCAATTGAAAGAAATTATTAGCTGAAAGAAAGGATATAATAATAAATTTTAAATCCCATAGAATGAAATTGAGATTTCTTCTCCCTTTCTGCTGAGACTTTTGCAAAAGAAGTTAGTTTCTTTAGGCCGCCAATAAAACAACAAATCGATAATAATATTGATATAGAACTAAATTACGATCTTTTTTTCATTTTTCATGTTTTGTTTGTTTTTGTTTTTGTTTTATAAAAATAACCACAGAAACATTTTCCCAGATATTCAAAATCCTAGTTTTCATTGTACATTTTTGCATGTCAACCTCAAATATGAACTTTTTCATCATCTTAAATTGATGTTGAATAGCAATCAATTATCCAAATTCATGCAGATTAATTCGTGTGTGAGACCTAATCCTGAAGCATCATATTAAACCAGCTGCTGCAGACACTACGATAATTAACAAGAGTGGACAATGGTCAAGAAGAGGATTATATCGAGATCAATGCTGCATGACCTGATGTGCCCCCTTTCTCAACCTCCATTTACAAGAATGATTATCTTTTTATATTTAGATTATCATTTATGGTAATGTTATAACAGTAACACAACTTGTTCATCCCCCATCAGGAACCAAAGTTATGTTTATGTTTCTGCTTTATATTCTGCAATAGTTTAAAGCATGCTATTTCCGTGAGAATGATATTTTTGTGATTTTGGCAGGTCAATAACGTGATCACTGAATAATATGACAAGCGTACAAATGAGCCGTTATAATAAACTTCATAAACGTAATGTCGTCATGAAATAGCATGCATATAGTTCCAGCACATGTCTAGATCATGAAATCGTAACCATTGTACATTTCATTTCTTATGCTGGGTCAAAATCGCCAACATGTAAGCCAGTGTAATAATAATAACCTGTAATACGGTATGTTCGATTGATGAGAAAAATGGCCAATTTTGATTTATGCTCTTGTCTTGTTGTTTGTGCATTGTTCCTGGTCTCAAGTAGTAATGACCCGGACTGATGTTGTGCATAATTGTGATATCAGCATGTCTGGTCAAGGAAAATGTGTTTGAATGAGTTATACGACATTACAGATTCGAAAGGAAAGCAAAACTGAATAGGTGTGGACCAAATAATCTGTTTAAGTTTATAGATCATTGATTAAAATTAACTGGATTTGCACTGTACATATATTATTTGTGTTTGAATCAACAAACAGTAATTCAAAACAGAAAAAATATTTAACGATAGAAACTACAGTCATTAAATGCAAACAGAATTAGGGTCATTAAATCCCCTTCATTACTGATATATAATATATATAATCACGATAGAATTAATTGAATTTCAAAGTAGACCTTTCTGCACAGGAACTTTGAAAAAAACCACTAACGATGCAATAATGGTCCTATATGTTTCTTTTAAAAAATGTTATTGTCTGCTCCCATCATGGTCGATGCACAATTACGATAAAATTGCTTTAAACTAAAAGAAGACCTTTCTGCACCAGATGAAAATGAAATTACTTACGAAATAGCTGTCCTGACTCTTTTTCTGTTAAAATACAAATGACATACGTGTCCCCATGATAAAATGATAGCGTTTAACTTGTCAACAACGCAATGATATTTCCAATCTCGCTGGCATCAACACAGAACTAAATTGATCTCTCTGTACCGAACTTAACATATATTCAAATTGCCAGGGAATACAGATGTGATATTTAACGACTGCAAAGATTATTTGTCAGCAGAGAGATTGACAAGTCCGTTTAATTACTTCGGCCGAGCTCGATCTGTAGAATTCACATGCTTTAGGTCAATAAGTTATGTCTGTGAAATTGACATAGCATCCGCCAGCGTGCATGTGGTCGCTGTCAATTTCTGCACAGGAAGCAGTTGATTGTGAGCATGAATGCTCTGAAGTATCTACTGAGCTTTGATGTCGGCGTAAAGATGGCAGAACATGTTTTTAAATATGAATTTGCTTAATATAGAATGTACCTGAAATGATCTGAATATAGATTGATAGTTAATATGAGAATGAAGATAGTCGGTTAGCTAAAAGCCGTTCCTCCGGAGATACCAAAGGCAACTTCCTGTGACGTCAGTCATCTTTTCTGATGTCAATTTCCTATCAAGTGTTAAGGAGCTTCGTAATGAGCTTGCCACTATACATTCACCCTAATATAGTCAGATTTATTTACACCTTTTGTACGAACAATTAATGGTCATCCCTGGATGTAACAGCAATACTGTGACAATTGTATATTCTGTATTCTGCCCCAGAATGATTATTTGTCTAATACCTTCCACCTATAGGTCTTCCTTCATTGTGACGTAAATATAACACTTATTAAAATTGATGGCACAAAATCGTTTTATAAGGTTATGTGTCAAATGATCTTTAAAAACATTTATTCAAACCAAATGAATGTGATACCTTTGGAAGAACCAAGGTTTACGGAGTTTGCTAAAAACATTTATTTAAACATAATTAATGCAATGTTTTTTAAAAGATCAAGGTTATGAACAAGGCTTTAAAATATTTCTTCAAACCCAAGGGATGTCATGTTTATAAGAGGACATGGTTGTAACAAGATATTTAAAATAATTTCATCTCTCATATAGATTGCTATCTAATCAGTTTAAACATGTGATTAACTGGAGATATCACTTCATAACCTGATCAAAATAACGAACTATTCCTCAAACATTGACCATAAGTTTAACAAGGTTCTTGTGTTTTTATCTACTGTTTCACACGTTCTTTAATAATTCTTATTTCAAACTGATATTTTAACTCTCGTCCTAGTTTTAGATTTTTTTTTATTTTTTTTTAAAAATCAATCTGCTGCCAATATGCACGAGTCAATTATTTTTACTCCACAACAAACAGACCAGGAAATAAATCCTTATCAGTGAAAACTCTTTTAGGGAGTTGCAGGTTCAAGGTTTTGTAGGTCAAGAGTAGGGATTGTAAGGGTTGCATGATGGGCAGGTTGTTGGACCAGATGGTTTTTCAGGTGGAGAGATGGTGGTGTGGATATGGAAATTGAGGGTTGGGGTAGGGGAAGGGGAGGGGGCATATCTTTTTTCTGAGGGACACTGGGTTGGTTTGGTTTTATTTTGTTTAACGTCCTATTAACAGCTTAGTTAGGTCACTTAAGGACATGCCTCCATGTATGTTGAGGATATGTGCCTGTATGTGTGCTGGAGACATGGTATGTTGAGGATATGTGCCTGTATGTGTGCTGGAGACATGGTATGTTGAGGATATGTGCCTGTATGTGTGCTGGAGACATGGTATGTTGAGGATATGTGCCTGTATGTGTGCTGGAGACATGGTATGTTGAGGATATGTGCCTGTATGTGTGCTGGAGACATGGTATGTTGAGGATATGTGCCTGTATGTGTGCTGGAGACATGGTATGTTGAGGATATGTGCCTGTATGTGTGCTGGAGACATGGTATGTTGAGGATATGTGCCTGTATGTGTGCTGGAGACATGGTATGTTGGTGTATTTGCCTCCTTGTGATGATAGCTCATATTTGATGCCCACTTCATAGTGCTATCTCATTGAAATACCATGCCAAAGGCACCTAGCTCAATGCTCCGCCCGGTCACATTATACTGACAACTGGTGAACCAGTTGTTGCCATTACCTAAATGCTGAACGTTAAGCAGGGAATATAGGGGTTGGAAAAAAACAATCAGCTGTAATAGAATGCCCTTTAACTCAATCATCCATCTATTTGGCATCAAAAGAAATTTTCCCAACATGTTATCAGAATAAAATAATAGAATTTCACAAAACAATCTTTATTGATCTAAAAGTACTTATGACACATCAACCTCATACATGATGAATTATTTGAACACTTAGCATGTAGTAAATTTCTGATTTTAATTATTTATAATCTTTGGTAAATCAAGGTAGAGGATACATTTGTTTACACAGGCTGGTAAATTACACAACGATGTATTATACATGAACCAATAAATCACCCCAAAATGTACTGTTATAGGAACATAAAAGATCATTTCGCTCTACCAGATTGAAATTCTATTTCCTGTTCTGACAAAATCAAATTTTCAAATCCAATTCAATTTGTTTCATTAGGTACGTTTACATTAGAAGTATTAAAATGAAATGAAAATGCATCCTGTGTTATTTGTTGAGACTAGAAATGTCACATGATAAAGTTGATGTAGAGAGAAAATGTCGTTTGTACATGACCAACTTCATGTTAGGACGCAATATATCAAAAACATTGAGCGGTACATTGTCGGAGGAATATTAACCGTAATTATACACAGATATTGTAAGTATAGGTTCAAGTTCTATTGATACTGCACTAATCGGTTAACACACATAAAAGCTTTCATTTTCCCAAAGCATTCTCAGCTTAACAAGATGTTTATAGGATTTATTTTAAAAAATAGACAGATTTCATATTATACAATTGTTTTGTCCAGTCTATTTTTTTTAAATTTAATTGACATTCATCCTACATTTGAATTCAATATTCTTTAAACAATGCCTCGCAAAACACCTGCATAACTTGTAATTCATCTAAACATTTTGGCTTTAAGAAATAACCAGCGATTATAAAAATTAAAACATTGTTCAAATGTGTCTTAAAACTATTAGAACTTTAAACATTCCTTATAATCAGGTTATAGTGCATATAGTTTCAATTGAACTCTGTTATTTTCCATTATTTTGAATAAGTAATTGAAGTTTTGATGGATATGCAATGGTTCTTAAGGTAATAGGATTGTGTCACCATTTCTCAGTAGAATTTCTTCAAATTTTGTAGTTATATTGCTTTGGAGTAAAGAAAATGGTCTGCCACAAAAAAAATATAGGTTGTCAGAATTTTAAGGATTTTAAATGGAAATTTATGTGAAAAGGAGTGAATTTTGAAGAAAAAAATGAAAGTTTTTGCAAAAAAATGTCAATAAAA